CCGGAGATGGGGGTTTGGGTGCTGTGCCCATTTGTCACTGTCAGACCCCACCTGTGGGAGGCATTAGACCGCGGTGGCCCAAATCTTCCCTGTCCCAGCCCCCAGGACCCCTGCCCTTGGATCCTCTCATCACTTCCCGATTTATCTCGCTTATCAAGTCTTTGTCCTGTTGTTCAAAGCTAAAAGTGAGGCAGGCTGGTGGCACTGAGCAGCACTGGGTTGCAGTTGAAGTCATTAAAGGATATATGTAGATACCAAGAAGAATATTTTCTAGGAAGTTGCAAGCGCTTTGACTCAGACAGGTAACTAAGGAGCTTAGGAAAGCAAGAGTCTCTAATGTGTATTTGTAAAACAAACCCCAGCTTTCTCAGGACTCTATCCAGGCCGTGGTCATCCTCTGCAGGCTCGTAGGGAGGCATAGGGAGACAGGCTCTCCTGAAGTGTCTCGGAGCTGTCAGGGATCGCCAGAAATCCTGCAGTGGTCCCTGCAGATACCATGATTTTCTCCTTCTAGGCTTGTTTGTGTGGCTAAATGCAAGTGCCGTGTTCGATAAGGGGAGGGGAGGATTAAGAACGTGAGTGATGTGCCGAGCATCGTGCTGCAGGGTTCAGGTGTTGCCGGAGGCGCAGGGGCCCCGGGGATGGAGCGGGGCTTTGTGCTCAGCCCCCGCCTGCCCCACGGAGTTTAAATGTGAGTATAAAGCAGCAGGTGATAGATGCCGCCAGCCAGCCAAAGTGTTATTTGTCTGAGCATCTCCAACGTTTGAGTAATTTGAAAAGAAAATTACACTTTCACTGACGTTCTAATTTAGACCTGGCTAAATCTGGAATTAATGTCATTTCTGAAGTTTGCTTTTGGAACAAAGTATGGAAAATGCAGATGCTTCAAAACTCATAAGTTTTGAAAAAATTTTCCATTTTGTTTAGTTCTGAATGTTGTTTTTGAAAACTGATGCTTTGTGGCAAAAATAGCTGAAGTGAATGAATTTGCTTGCCGTGCTGGGTAAGCCGTGGCAGCACAAAATAGCTGTTTTCTAAACCAAATCTTGCAATTTAATTCAGTGTTTGCATGGGAAAACAAAAGTTGCTTTTGTTTTCATTTATTTTTTTAAAGTCAAAAACCTTTGTGGAAATCCGCTTGATGAAACCAAGCGGTTGGAGTAGTTGAAGCACGGTGTCCGTGTGCAGGTGCGTTACGGCACGTGCGGAGCTGGGGCACGACTGTGAAGCAACTGTTCTCAGCCCAGCGCCTAAGATAAGTAGCAGGTAACATAGAGCGTGAAGTTTTGCCCTCTGCCGTGTGCCACAAGAACAAAGGTGTTGTCTTTTAAAGATGTCGGGTTTAAAGGAATTTGAGAATTCATGAGAAAATAAATCTTTTTCATGTCGTTGACCGATGTCAAGAGATCACCAGCAAGAACCTGAATATCTATAAAGATGATAATAAGCTTAAAAGAGCTGATGATAGCAAAAAGAGGGGGGCAAATGGAGAAAAATAAAATAAAATGCTGTTTGAGGGTGTGAGGCGGTGTGTGATGAGGAGGCGTTGGGAGCGGTGGCGGGGATGGAGATAGCTCTGTGTCTGGCGGAGCACCCGCTCGGCGGGGGGAAAGGCTGGAGGCCGAACCAGCGCAGCGGTTGCAGCCTTCGTGCATTGTGAGAGCGAGTGGTGATGGGTTATGGCAAATAATCCCGGGCGAGCATCTCATTACACACATGTGTAATTGTTCCTGTTGCAGTGAACTTAGCCTGCTGCCATCTGCTAAGCAGATTCAATTAAACAGTGAGGGGTGGGAAGAATAAGGTACAGATGCTAATGCGCTGTGTAAACTACGATGGGCAAGTTCTCCTAAATATTTAGACTTTTTTTGTAAGTTTGTAGAGCTGACTTACTCTTGGGTCTGTGAAGTTCCCTTAACTTCGTTTGGAGGTAGCCACTTAGCTCTGTTTTTCTACTTAAAGTTAGGTCACTTTTAGTGAAATTAGCTTAGATAGAACAGGGAGATGTTTTTGTCTTGGGGAGAAATTCTGCATAGGAGTTCTTGAATAGGGAGCAGTTACCTGGAGTAACGGGACTGTACCCAGGTAGGGGCCGAGCAGTTAACACGTAGCCTCGGGGAGCTCGGTGTGCGACGGCTCGCGTTTTCCTGGGTTGTTTCTCAGTCCTTATTCAGTTTTTATTGTTGGTTTAGGTTCACTGTCTGTGATGGCAGTTTTACTAACAGGCTCCTGCTACCCCCTCTCTGACACGCACAGAGGTTTTAATTAAAAAAGTGGAAGGCACCATAACATTTTCAAGAACTTGGTTAAATTATAAATCAAGCAAAAATGGTTAAAAACCTAGCCCAGTGGCCAAATAAATTCCTGCTGGCACTGTGACTCTTATATAACCATGTATAATGTTCTCTGGCATTATTTTGAAAGTTCATAAACACGGCTGTGTGTTAAAGGGGTGGAGGAAGAGGTCAGCTTTGTGTTAAGGACAGAAAGCTCCATTCTCGGTAGCTGACAGTCTATTTCCTTCTGGCTCCTTTTGATGTCTGGAGACTAAATGCTGCGTGGAGAGAAAAATTCAATTCATTTAAAACATTTTGCATCAAAATGACATGCTTTAATGTATTTTCTTCTGATGTTTAAATTATCTTTTCATCTCATGAGGGGGAAAAAAAAATAAAAAAGCCAACATGTTTGTAGTTAAAGTACCCAAGCAGAACTTTAAACAAAGGTCTGGAAGAAGAGGAAGTCTCAATGTACGGGCGGCTTTTAAGAGTAGATGCCTTTTTTCTTCTTTTTTTTTTTTCTTCCTTTTTTTTTTTTTGTTTCCCCCCCCTTCTTGGCTCTCTGAGACTTGTAAACTGAGGAGATTTATTGCTGCCCTTCCAAATGCTTCTTTAGAATTAAAAGTTCAAATTTCTGAAATTCCTGAAGTCCTCAGGAGGGAGAGGGATAAGGGAAAGTGATGATCTTAAGTGAAGCAGAGCACACCACAGGGTTTTCCAGGCTGGTTTGGCCAGTTACAGCTGGATATAGCCTTACTAGGAGGAAATAAGCTAAACCTGCATCAAGAAAACTCTTGAGAGTCGTGGACCAATGATTACACTGGATTTGGATGAAATTTAGACTTCTTTAGTAATTGCAGTTGTTATTGCTAATAATTTGGAGAGCTGACTCTGGCTTATTGTGTTGCTGTAAACATGAGTCTTAGTAGTTTCACAACTATCACGTCAAGGGAGGGACTCAACAGGGTCTTTATGAATCACTGTCCTTCACCAGATGTGGCCGTGCCTACAGTTGTTCTTGCTGATGTACTGTCATGTGTTTGACTTAACACTGATAGACGTGGAATCCACTCTGTCAGTGAAATCCCAGCTCCCCTTGAGGCTGAAAAATCCCGTTGACCTTTTTTTGGTGGGTTTTTTTTTTTTTTTATGCCTCCTTCACAACCTAGGAAGGAGTTCACCCTCAGTCTTCTTTCTGCTTATATCATCGATTTTTGGTATATTTGAAGTCGTAAGATGTATTTCCCAGTAGTTCACTCTCTTCCCTACATGATGCGCAGAAGCTGCAGTAAATGTCGCACAGGGTGCAGTGTTAAAATGCCCTCTTGGACCACCCGCTCCCATGGAGCAGCCAGCACAGCTCTCTTCCGACTCAGACGGGCTCCCCAGGCAGTTGTTTCCATGGCAGGCACTAACAGCATCTCTCAGGTTTGGGCTGCAAAAAAAAAAGCGCATAGTGTATTTCTGGTTGCAAACACCCATGTGTGCAGGGGAGTGTCAGCATTTTAATAAGGATCTGCTTGGAAAATTATTTCAGCTCCTGTATTGGATATCTTGCTTTTGTAGAGGATGTTTGATATTCGGCTGGGAACTGGCCACTTATTTTCTTACGAAACCTGCAAACCCTCCCTGCCCTTTGGTTAGCCCCAAGCTTGTGGGGATTGGCATGCACCTGAGCAGGAGGACAGGAGAAAGTTAGAAGTGGTCGTTTTTTTTTTTTTTCTGTTTTCCAATGTATAACGACCTAAATAACCTCAATGTATTACTATTATGTTTATTGCTAATGAAGAATCAGCACTATTCTTGTTTGCATAATACTGTTCTCTCAAACCTCCTTTGTGTTATGCAGCCACTGCATATTGCTATTAAAAGACAGACAGCAAAGGAGTATTTTAGGGACACATGTAGGTTTTCCAGTGGGGATGGCCCCACTGTGTCCCTAAGGGGAAAGCTGCCCTTGGAAATGAGAAATCTTGAAAAAGAAACTTAGGTGTATCAGGCAAACTTTTCAATCGGTGTAACCCAAAATCCTTCCAACCTTATTTTTCGGTCTGGAAGCAGAGTATTAACAAGGTGTTGAGTGTTTTTTCCTCCATGTAACTATTGTAAGTAAATGGCAATGCAGCTTTCGCCTGCGGAGGCACAGCGGATGGAGGGACTCGTGTCCCTCCGGGAGCAGACGGGAAGCCTTCCCAGGGGAGGACACAGCTCTCTCACTTCTGTCTTCTGATACGTCCTGTTTTCTGCCATTAGTGAGCCTAATTTGGTTGTGTTCAAAAGCGGGTCTCATTTTTCTCTTTTTCAGATACCAAATATGTCTGAATTCAGCTCACAGCCTCTTGTGTGTTAGTTGGAAACAAGTACTTTTAAAAATAATTATGTTGGGTTAAATGTTTAGCACTAGAGAACAGCCATGATTTGCGCAGGCAATAGCTTTCAAATGCGAGATGTTTTTTTTAGCACCTTATGTCAGTTTGGTAAATTAACAGATGTTTTGAAAAAAACTGTTATGTGTTTTCCTTCAAAACCAAAACCAGCCTCTTCACGCAGATCCAGAAGCAGGTATATGGAGACCCCTTGGGTAAGCCTGGCGATAGACTCCCCAGGTGAAACGGTCCTTTTCTGACACAGATTTCCTCACCCGTGTGCCTTTTGGAGCTCCTTTAATGTGATATTTATGACAAAAGGTCTCTTATGCATCCTTTCTGATTTTTCTTGCAGAGGATATTCAACTCCTTCGTGTACACAGAGAAAATATCGAATGGAGAAAGTGAAGTTCAACAGGTGAGTCCGAAAGCCCCTTCCCACGTCCTGCTGCCCGCTGGCAGCATTACAAAGGCAGAGGCAACTTAGACATTACAGTTTGTCTGGATTTATTGTGGCCACTTTCCTAATGTCCATCACATCAGATAACCCATCTCCATTTATATTCTATTCCATTTATTGTTATATGGGCTGATTATGTATTTGAGAGTTTTGCATTGCCATGAAAAGGCTTTCCATCTGCTTTGTGTGGGTTCTTCCCTTAGAAACAAGAGCAGAGGCAGAGCTGGGGCCCTCGTGTAGTATCTCACGTTAATTGACTAGTTTTCATGTTCGAAGTGTTTCTTTTAAAATTATCTCACGTTAATTGACTGGTTTTCATGTTGGAAGTGTCTCTTTTAAAATTGTTTTAATTCAAGGCAGAAGCACTAATACTATTTATGAATGTGGAAATGGTATCAATTGCTTTGTGTAAATATGGGACAGCTCCAGCTTTATGCATAACAGTTGTGGTTGAGGTTTTTTGTAATTTTGTGTGGGTTTTTCTTACAGGAACACATTTGAACGTTTAACTCTTCAATTTAACATTGAGATAATATATCTCAACAGATGGGCAGTTTGCATTTTAATACATGCATACATTTGGAAAATTAATTTTCGATCAATTTTAAAACCGATCAAATAGATCTCCTTTTCTTCATTAAGAAATTAAGGAACCAATTCTGTATGCTCACAACTGCACCTCCATGCTAAACATGATGAGTTTTGGTAGAAGAGGCAGCCACTGCCCTGCCTGGGCGCCTGAACAAAGAACCAGCTTTTCCTTCCAGTTTAAGCATGGGCTCAGATGCACAACCTTCGGCGAGTAATCTGACCTTCCTAGACCTCTATCAAACCAATTCTAATGTTCAGTAAAAGCAAAAGTGCCTCAGAGGAGCTCTCCCTGGGAAGAAGGGAATTGCTTTCCAGCCACGCAGGTAGCCTCATTTGCACATGAGCTGCTGTTGCTGGGTTCCAAGGGTGTATCAGTACATTGCATGCTCGTGTGCATTAAAACTGGTCATGTAATATAAACAAATCAACACTCTAAGTTGTGTTCACTGTAAATAGTAAAATTCCCAGACATTTTTTTTTCCCCAAAGGGAAAAGTCAAAGCAGAGCTGGATCAAGTGGGATTTTGAATCCCCGCACACTGTATTTAAACTTTGGGAGAGTTTGCTTTGGAGAGCAGGGCTCAGCTCCTCTTCTGTTTCAGCAGAAATACCGTGGCTTTTGATGGGATTCTGGTCAATGTAGGAACTAAATTAATTTGCAGTAAATTGAATAGTTCAGGAAAATATAAGTATGTCGGTGATAAAAAGAAGACTAGCGAAAATGTGGGCCCTCTCTGGAAGGAAACGGGAGACCTGGTTACCTGGGATATGGAGACTTTTTTGCCTCAGTCTTCACTGGCAAGTGCTCAAGCCACACCACCCAAGTCACAGAAGGCAAAGGCAGGGACTGGGAGAATGAAGAACTGCGCACTGTAGGAGAAGATCAGGTTTGAGACCATCTAAGGAACCTGAAGGTGCACAAGTTCATGAGATGTATCCACGGGTCCTGAGGCAACGGGTGGATGAAGTTGCTAAGCCACTATCCATCATATCTGAGAAGTCGTGGCAGTCCGGTGAAGTTCCCACTGACTGGAAAAGGGGAAATGTAACCCCCATTTTTAAAAAGAGAAAAAAGGAGGACCTGGGGGACTACAGGCCAGTCAGTCTCCCCTCTGTGCCCAGCAAGATCATGGAGCAGATCCTCCTGGAAACTATACTAAGGCACATGGAAAATAAGGAGGTGATTGGTGACAGCCAACATGGCTTCACTGAGGGCAAATGGTGCCTGACAAATTTGGTGGCCTTCAACGACGGGGTTACAGTGTTGGTGGATAAGGGAAGAGCAACTGACGTCGTCTACCTGGTCTTGTGCAAAGCATTTGACACTGTCCCACATGACATCCTTAACTCTAAATTAGAGAGACATGGATTTGACGGATGGACCTCTCGATGGATAAGGAATTGGCTGGATGATTGCACTCGGAAGAGTTGCCGTCAACGGCTCAATGTCCAAGTGGGGACCAGTGATGAGTGGTGTTCCTCAGGGGTCGGTATTGGGACTGGCGCTGTTTAACATCTTTGTTGGCGACATGGACAGTGGGATTGAGTGCACGCTCAGCAAGTTTGCCGACGACACCAAGCTGTGTGGTGCGGTCGACATGCTGGAGGGAAGGGATGCCATCCAGAGGGGCCTTGACAGGCTTGAGAGGTGGGCCTGTGCAAACCTCATGAAGTTCAACAAGGCCAAGTGCAAGGTCCTGCACATGGGTCAGGGCAATCCCAATCACAAATGCAGGCTGGGCGGAGAATGGATTGACACAGTCTTTAGTGGAGAAGCCTTGTCCCTTACTGGCATTAAATTCAAGTGTGTAACTATATTAACAGATAACTTTGATAAATATAAAAGCATGTGATTAGTGATCTCGTATTTAAATTAGACTGTTAGATTGATGTCATAGAAATTTTAAGATGAATCTCCTGTGAGTGCTATCATAAAAAAGGCAAGGTTTATGTTTAGAAAAAACCAACAAAGTTCACCTTTGGTACTGCTTGTCTCTGCGTTAGATGTTTGTTTGGTGAGATACAGATGGGTGTGGGAAACAACAGAAGAAACCAGAGCAACGCATTAATCTTGGTAAATTATGCTAATTCTGGTATTAATGATTGCTTGACCCTGCAGATAATAGTGTCTCAACCCTAGTAATAGATGTTATGTTTTACAGGAGTTTTTTCCTAGCTCCGGTTAGTTAGAAGACATTTGATGCAAGTTTTTCCTGAAGCTTGATCATTTTGTAGGAGTCTGTCCTATGTATTCAATTTGGCTGTAGAAACACATTTCTGATTTTCAGTCATCACAGTTGAGATCATCACCTATAATACAAGAGTAAAAAAAATGTGGGGAGCGGTAAATAAGCCAGGAGAACATTCCCTCCTCTGTTTTTGATTCCACTGCCTGTCTTTGTTATGGCATCTTTCTCACTTTGTTTCTCAAGTGAATTGTGCAGAAGACTTTCCATACCCCTAATAATTATCCTTATTCTCTCCTGTGTTTATTTGGGTTCTGCTTTATATTTTTATTTCTATTTTTTTCGTATATTTTTGTTAAGCAGTCACCAGTATGAACGTCATGACATGGGGGGCAGCAGATGTGCTGTTAATGTTGTGTTAGAACCCTTGAATTATTTTTTAAATCTCCTCTCTTCCAAGAAACCCTCCAAATTATTTTTCTTTTTTGACAACCTCTAATTGGAGAACACATAATTAAGAAGAGTTTATATGGAACTGAGTATAATGACATCCTGTTCTCTTCATGTAAGTGGTACCTTTTTTCCCCTGGAGGTCCAGATACATATGGCTGTGTATTTCGAGTAGTTCATTTTGTATCACTGTTATTAATTTATACAATTCTGATGTATGTTCCTATTACTAATTTGGGCATACATTTTTTTGTTGTTGTTGATGTATTGGTGAAATGTTATAAATTAAAAAAAAAACCAAAAAACATTGGATGCCCAAATTACGATCCCAGAGAAGAAATTTGCTGCTTGGAAAGGCATGATGCTGTTGGTGATGGTAGGTGGTTGGTTTAAGTGGTGCCCAAGGTCGGACATTCACGAACGGTGATGGTTCAGTGGTGCAGACAGGAGATGTGTGCCGTGCTCGGCATGATGCTGGAGCCCACCGTCCACCCTCGGGAGGCTTCGGCTTCCCTCTGAGCATGCACAGGTGGGTGCTTGCGTGCAAAGGGACCACAAAAGGGTTATTGTCGCCCGAGTTTAAAAGTTTAAATCTGAAACCATCCTGACATCTTAAGAGAATGGTTCGCTGGCTTTGACGTCACGCTAGGGCAACGTTTTTCTCGAGTATTTCTGGGTGGTCTGCACACCACGAAAGGGCCATGTGGGCTAGATTATACGTATCAGATGGCTTTTGAAAGCCAAAAGTGTTTTTGGGAAACCAAGAAACTGGATTAAAACTTCTTTGAAGTCTCAACTATCGATTCTTCACTTAGGAAAAGACGCTGCTTGTTTCCCAGCCGCAGATGTACGTATTCACCCTAAGTAGATATAAATAACTGTCTAAACACTGTAGGTAGTGTGATGAATTCGGAGCTGTCAGAGGAGAAAAACGAGGCCCCGGTGGAGCATAATTACTGTGGTTAAAAGCTCAACAGTGAAGTGGATAGAAGAATAATTGAGCACTTCTGTTTCATTAATAACCAGGTCTTTTAGCCCTAATGAATCACAAGCAATATAACCGGAGTTTTATGAGTAAGAGTAGTACATCGAACGGGATCGTCTTGAGCAAATGCAAACAAATGTAAGCAAATTAAATCCCCTGTCGCTCATTCCTGGTTTTGTCATTCATTAACATTTTCTTAGCAACTGATACCCAAAGGCAATTAATTACGGCTTTATGTCAGCTGGGATTTTTTCCTGGCAGACCACTGAATTGTTGTGGGGGGTGTTTTTTTTTTTATACCAAAGTGTGTAAATAATGACTTTCAGTTTGTTGAGAAAGTGAAAAGCTACAGCTGTTGGCCTTCAGGCCTAACTACTTAATACGCTTGGCTTTCTTCATGCCACACAAGGAGTGGTTTACCTTTCGATGTTAAACTGCTCACGCTTTTAAGGTCTACAGTTACAGAATTACTATTGTACGTAAGAGATAAAACCTTTTTTGCTTTGAATAGGTTATTAAAAATCGGGTGGAGATTGCCAAAAATAACTTGGATTCCTTTCCTGTAAGTTATTTCAATAGCAGAGAACTTAGAATATGAAAATTTAGTGGTGTGAACGATATAAATAAAGTGGAAAATGGTTAGTTTTATTAGGGGAAAATCTAGATTAGCCGTTTTCAAGGAAGTCAGCGTGTGTTCAGCGTCCTGCCAGACATCTGGTTTCTGTGGTATAGAGAATATGAAACTGG